GAATACCCCATATGTATATTCAGTCTCAGTGTTTTGGCTCCACCAAAGGTCCCTTGTCTGTTTTCCACTAGTATAACCAGCATTAATACTCATTGTCTGAGAACATTGTTTTTAATCATTCCATATTCATGTGGAACTCCTATGTAGCTCCATTATCAAGAATCAAAACTAACCAGCATTACTTAATGAAATCTTTAAATAGATTGTTAGAAGCAATTTTATCCACTTGTGTTATTTAGTCCCATGCTTCTCTTTTGTCAAGAAATATATTCCCTTTTATCTGGCCTTGTCAGACTTGATTACTAGACAGGGAGTGCATTAATAAGATAAAATTCTTAGTCAAGATTAGAACCTTCTATGAAACTCGGTGTTTGACTGCCATGGAATTCTCTGGGATGTGGCCATATATTCAGTTTTAAATTGGTTACATTGCTCTCTTGTTGGTTAGACATACAGCTCTATTATTACAAGGTTCAAGTTCTCTGGACTTCTGAAGATCCATCTTAATGGAGTTTTTATTATGCATTTCTCTCCTTGAGTAGTATTTTAAAGTTTGTTTTGGAAGCTGACGATGTTGCTTGCGCAAGTTTCTGAATACCTGGCCATGATCTCCTGTGGGGCTATGCAGTACCTGGGGCCTTGTAGACCAGATAGAGCAAGTCTATTGTCGTATGTTTTGCCTTCAAAAGCAGAAATGCAAGCTAGCCAATAAATTCTTCTTTAGTCCTTGTAAAAAATCAGTCTCAGGCTAATCAGAGGAATGCTGGAGGTACAGATACTTATTGAGGTTCAATTTTTTTTTTAATAGTTTATTTATTTATTTGACAGAGAGAGAGACAGCGAGAGGGAACACAAGCAGAGGGAGTGGGAGAGGGAGAAGCAGGCTTCCCGCTGAGTGGAGAGCCCGACACAGGGTTTGATCCCAGGACTCCGGGATCATGACCCGAGCCGAAGGCAGACACTTAATGACTGAGCCACCCAGGCACCCGAGGTTCAATTTTAAAATGAAATTTGTTTGTTTGAAAAGCATTAGTATATAGTGCCTTGTCCTTAAAATCTTTTATTTAATTTTGCTTTGATCACTTAAAATCTGATAATTGCCTTTTGTCACCCTCCATAATATTTTCTTTAAGATTTTTTAATTTATTCATTTGACAGAGAGAGAGATAGAGAGAGAGAGCACAGCAGGGGGAGAGGCAGGCAGAGGGAAAGGGAGAAGCAGACTCCCCGCTGAGCAGGGAGCCCGATGCGGGGCTCGATCCCAGGACCCTGGGATCATAACATGAGCTGAAGGCAGATGCTTAAACGACTGAGCCACCCAGGCACCCCCTCCATGATATTTTCTGAAGAATTCCCTTCAGATTATAGCATGTCTTGGGGTTCTATTCCTTGATCTACTTCTCATAGACATTCTGCTTAATGTTACTGAAAGTCAATTTATATGCATGAGAAATTAGATTTCCAATGCCTATCTTTGTATGGGTAAAGCAAATAAAATATAGCCAAAGGCTAAGATGAAATAATTTTGGAAATATCCACTCTTTCATGTCATGTTTCTCTGCTTCTTCCATTAGCATGCACAATTTGTGTCTATTTGTGTATTAGTATTATGTACAGACAGATATTTTATAGATAAGGAACTAGGAGAACCTAATTATAAACTTTAATCTCAGAAAGACTACTTAATTACTCAGATCTTCAATTTTCCTATCTACCCACAGAAACAACAAGACAAATACAGGCATATTTAGCTCTAACAATCTCTGTGTTTCCCTGAATTTGCATTTGATCAGTTGCTGGCAAATCAAATCATATTTTTAGTACATAGAGGTGGGAGGTGGAGGTGGCATGCTATTTAAAGACATGTTTTTATGAATTTTTTTTTAAAGATTTTATTTATTTATTCATGAGAGACAGAGAGAGAGAGAGAGAGGCAGAGGGAGAAGCAGGCTCCCAAGGAGCAGGGAGCCTGATGCGGGACTCGATCCCAGGACGCTGGTATCATGACCTGAGCCAAAGGCAGACACTTAACCACCTGAGCCACCCAGGTGCCCCATCTTTTTATGAATTTAACAACTAGCCCCCTAATGCATCTGCCTTTATAAATTTGGATTTTTAAATAATGGGTTTTGGTTAAAGAGTAATTCAAGTTTTAGAAATGAAGTTATACTGGGCACCTGGGTGGCTCAGTCAGTTAAGTGTCTGCCTTCGGCTCAGGTCATGATCCTGGGGTCCTGGGATCGAGTCCCACATCGGGCTCCCTGCTCAGCAAGGAGCCTGCTTGTGCATTCTCTCTCTCTCTTAAATAAATAAATAAATAAATAAATAAATAAAAATAATAAAATCTTAAAAAAAAAAGAAAGTCATATTGTAAATGTACTAAGCATTGTTTTTCAAATGTTACCTTATCTCAAATTCTTTTATGAATATGTTTTCTGTTTCATTATTTATAATTTTGGTAAATTTTTACTTTTATAAGTCATTTTTAGTTTTTCTTAAGGTAGGGCACAGCTGGATTACTCTTTTTTATCCTACAGAGGCATAGTGTAGGGTAATTAGTTAATATCCCCACCATTCTGGAAAGATGAATAAAACATGGAGCTGTGTATGCTGTCCACCTCTGTTCTCACCTTTTCTCCTCATGTGCAGGCTAATTTGTAGTGGTTGGAAAATTGGCAGGGATATGTTACTGGTTAATTGACTCCATCTCAAGGCTTGTCAGTGTTCTCTTCAAGACACATTTTATTTTATGAAAAGAAATAAAAATAATTCATGCAGAAGTAAAAGAAAACAAGGGCAATAGGAACTCAAGAGTTGTAAAATTTATTACAAATAAAATAACGGGCATAAGAACAAGAAAAAAATCCTGAATTCTGTAATTGTTAAGTTTCTTCTAAAGCTGGGAGCACAGTAGTGAGAACAAAAACTTTCCATTCTTGTATCTCTTGTATGCTTTGTCTTCAAGCATAAGGAACTTCTCTTTCATTTCTGATCTGTTCTAGAAAACCTTTAAAATGTTCCCAGGCTCTGATGTTCAGCCTTAGCTCTCCCTGAACCCTTTCACCACCTTCTCTCCCTTCTTCTCTCTCTCTCTCTCCCTCTTTTTCTCTCTCTCTCTCTCACACACACACACTTCTGATACACTTTCTTACTTGGGTGTGTACCACATTTCCACTGACTTCTCTAAGTGGTGTTCCCTTTCTCCACTGTGCAAATGAGGAAGCCATTGATATCTAAGGCATTTTCTTATCTTCTGATTTTAAAAGAAGATGCTTGAAGATTCTGAACATATTGCAGCTGGGATGAGGAACTTTCATTTCTTTTTTGCTACCCTAGCTTGTGTGGCTTTAAAGGTGGTTTTGGAAGGAAATGGATGTTCCCTTGGGGAGGAAGGCACTCATTTAAGGGCAAAAGTCAAAGAGTTGACCCTCAATACTCTGGTTTCAGTCTCCTACTTTGCCTAGGAGGCATAGTTAAGACTGGGACATCTGGGTTCTGGGTCCTTATTTCTATAAACTGACCATCACCTATTCATATAATTCTCTAATGCCTAAAAATCTTGCATGCTTCCATCTGATGCTCCTTTCAGGGAACTATTTAGACCTTGCCTATGTTTGGGGACCCCTTAGAAATTCTTTACTATTATCTAAGAACAAAGACACCTGCTAGATTGATATTGCCTACTTCCTGTAGGTTATGGCATCCTCAGGGTACATTAGCTGATGGAAGTTCTTCTGGATAAATGCATCAGTCAGTAAGGCCACTGTCACTGAGGGGAAAAGATCCCTTCTTCCTCCCCTCAGAAAGACCATAAAAGGTGAGAAATTTTTCAGTGGCATTGAGGCCTGGGGGATCTTCTGAGGCAGAAATCTTGGGGATCCCACTTAGTTTCTGGCTTACTGTGGGACTTATGGAAGTTGTTTCTCCCTTTCTGGATTTCCAGTCTAAAAATAAAATGATTTTGTCACTAGGGAACCAACCTATACCTGTTGGTATTTTTCTGTTTTGATTTTTTTTTTTTTCAAACAGCTTTGAATTTACTGAGATATAATTCACATACCTAAAATTCATCTTCATTTGAAGTATACAGTTTAATGTCTTTTTAGTATGTTCATAGGGGATGCAACTATCGGCATGAACTAATTTTAGAACATTTTCATCCCCCCTAAAAGAAACCTTATATTCATTAGTATTAAGTCACCTTTTCCCTCCTGTCTTCTTTCCCCTAGCCATAAGGAACCCCTAATTTGCTATCTGTCTCTTTAAGTTTTTTATTCTGGACATTTCTCATAAAAGGATTTGTACAACATGTGGCCTTTTTTTTTTTTAAGATTTTATTTATTTATTTGAGAGAGAATGAGATAGAGAGCATGAGAGGGGGGACGGTCAGAGGGAGAAGCAGACTCCCTGCTGAGCAGGGAGCCCGATGCGGGACTTGCTCCTGGGACTCCAGGATCATGACCTGAGCCGAAGGCAGTCGCTTAACCAACTGAGCCATCCAGGTGCCCCAGCATGTGGCCTTTTTGACTGGCTTCTTCCACTTAGCATAGTTTTGAAGGGTCAAACATGTTGTAGTGTGTATCAGTACTCCATTCCTTTTTATGGCTGAGTAATATTCCATTATATGGATCTACTCCACATTATTTACCCATTCATCAGTTAATGGACATTTGGATTGTTTCAGCTTTTTGGCTGTTTGTACTGAGATGCGAATCCATTATCACATATATGATTTGCAAATATTTTCTCCCATTCTGTGGGTTGTCTTTTCACTTTCATGATGGTATCATTTACAGGTCAAAAGTTTTTAATTTTGATATAGTCAATTTATATACTTTTTCTTTTGTTACCTGTCTTTTGGTATCATATCTAAGAAACCATGACCTAACCCAAGGTCATGAAGAGTTACTCTATGGTTTCTTATGAGAGTTTTATAGTTTTGGCTTGTATATTTTGTCTATGATCCATTTGTTTGTCTTTTTGTTTCAGCGAATACCGAATACCCTTGAAAAAAAATGGTCAAATGGTCCATCTTGTAGTAGTTCCAGATAATGGAAAAGCTGACAAGAATTGAAATACATGCTGAATACTTACTGTTTCCAGCAGTTGTATTATGACTCCATGTTCCCATTGCGTTTCCTTCACTTACACTTCTGCTATGGTAAGTTTTAAGTTTAATTAAGTTTAATTTTGTTCGCTCACATGGCTAGCCAGTTTAAGAAAGTTTCCATATTGACGTCTGAAACTGACAGCTGATGGGTGTTGAAATAAAACATGCCTTGTTGCTATTATTATATTTCTCTATGTTTTTTTTTTCTTTTGCTCTTTATTTACCACCCAAACCCTAATCTATTATCTTTCTCTAAAATTGTTTTCAACTTCTCCTTTTCACATGATTATAAAAATGTGACTTTTTCCAATCTCTTTAGTGTCTCATTTTTATTATTATATTCTAGAAGATTTTTTTTTCAAAGCCTTCATTCTCTGATAAGATTTTTTTAAAAAAGATAATAATGTTGTTCCATATCATTATTCTACAGTATTCACAGCATTTAATATATTATGGACATTTAATACACATTAAACAGCAAAAGATTTATGCTTGACGTTTCATATGACTATCAACTGGATTATTTCCTAATTAGGCATTGACCTGACCTCACTGGTGCTTCCATATTTAGACACGGACACCTCCCCCTCCATATATAAAGCTCTAGTGATAATCTAAATGAAGGACTAAGAGAGTTAAGTACTGAAGACAGTAATGGTCAGGCCTCCCAATATTAGCCGCATATTGCAATATGTTCACTTCCATATTTCTTTCCAGAAGTTGTCACATATGTTATTAAGAGAGCCCTTGGCTTGTCCCCTTCACCTCTAGGGAATCAGTTATCTCTCTGTCCATAGGAAAACTGTATCCCATATAGTAGTTGTCTTCCTACTCCCCAGGAAATAATCTGCTGGAATTCAAAATACAATTATCGCGCCTGACTGCTTTCCTATATCCTGGAGCTGACCATTATTAATGGCATCCAATTATTCATAGCAATCATGCAGCTGACCTTGCTAAACAGATCACAGCAGTGGGTATTTGACAGTCAGTCTGCTGGCGGGGCGTGATAAATAGGAGGAGACAATGTCATATCCGGGTCATCTTCAGCGAAAACAGCATGACGCTTGCAGACTTACCAGAATGCTATAATAACTTCACTGCAAGATATAGCATTTCATTATTTTAAAAGCATATGTTTAGAATATACTGGCAGGAGCAGGAAAAAAAAAGTTGATTTAGGTAAGCTTGGTGTTTGGGAATCTCTTTGGTTTACCCTATATGGCTGCCCTGCTAATTAACTGCTTGACCTTTGGTAGGTCATTAGACTTTCTGAGCCTCAATGTCTTCAACTCTAAAATGAGGGCTTTTGCCTATTTTTAAGGGTGGTTGTGAAGATTCAACGATATAAAAACTATGGAACAATCAGGTAAGGAGAAGTTGCTCAATCATTGTCAGTTTCCTGTCCACAGAGTCAGTCTAAGCCCCAGCTCCAACGGAGGTAAAAGACATAGCATAAAAGCCTTTTTATTCTTCACCAAAGTGCAGGATAGGTTTTGACTCTCACATGAATGCTGCTTTTTCATTCTGCTTTTTCCACAAGCACACAAGTCAAAGGTTTTCCTTTATTGTGCAGTGGTATTAAAGTGTGATATTTGTTTGCGGTGAAGGAGCCTAAGCATTAAAAACTGACATAAATTTCCAGGTGGTTGGCTTTTGACCCTTCCATTTCCTTGACTGTATGTTCCCTCTGAGTTGGCATGATATATAACGGTTCTGATTCAGCTGCGAAAGGAGCAAGTTGTTTACTTTTGGAAGTACATTAATTCTCTCATGCCACTAGGAGGGGGATTTTCACAAGGAACTAACTTTATGTGAGTTTTGAGCCAAGCAATTTGAAAGAGTTTGGAGGAATGCCCACAGTTTATAGTCCCTCGAGGGTCACTGGCATGTTCTAATTCAAAGTGACCAGAGAAGAGTTCCTTCCTTATGTCTTACTTCCTTGTCACCATGTGAGATGCCCCACTGTCATTTGCATCCCGATTAAAAAAAAAAAAAGTAATTTATACTTCTATAAGATAGCTGGAGTGAAGTAAAGAAAATGTTCTCTTGAGAATTTCTCATACACACTGCTTATCAGTGATGGACACATGGTGTATTTGATTTGCCATGAATATCATGAAGCATTTAGCAAAATTTACTAAGAGAAACAGGAACTGAATTTTAGAGAAGGTGGCTAATTGTGTCAGATTAGCCCCGAAGACAATGGGGAGTTTCCTAGTGACCTGTGAAGTAGCCTCTTGGTTTTTTTTTTTTGCACTCCAGGTGGACCGGCTGGATGTGTAAGTAGGTGAAGGGAAACGGGGGATTTTGTGGTGGCTTGGGACTCCGGTATATTCCACCTGCAAGTTGGGCGGTTCAGGAAGAGGCCCTGATGGCTGTGTAGACAGTAAACTTCCATGATGGTTAAGGGCATAGTCTTACGACCCAACAGGCTTAGTTTGAATGCTAGCCTTTTCACTTTTATGATTATTCGTTTTTTTTTTTTTAAGATTTTATTTATTTATTTGAGAGAGAGAATGAGATAGAGAGAGCATGAGAGGGGGGAGGGTCAGAGGGAGAAGCAGACTCCCCGCTGAGCAGGGAGCCCGATGCGGGACTTGATCCTGGGACTCCAGGATCATGACCTGAGCTGAAGGCAGTTGCTTAACCAACTGAGCCACCCAGGCACCTTAGAGTATTCTTATCTGAGAAATGGCAGTAACTGTCAAGGCTCTTGGAGAACTTAGATGAAATCACAAATGTGCCAATATCCTGATGCGAAGTGTAGTGAATTGAATAGTAGCCTCCAAAATATATGTCAGTGTCCTAATCCCTGGAACCTACAACTGTGACCTCATTTGCAAATAGGGTCTTTGCAGATGTGATTAAAGATCATGAAATGAGATCATCCTAGGTTAACCTGGTGTGTCCTAAATCCAATGGCAAGGGTCCTTATTAAGAGACAGAAGAGGAAAAGACACAGGCCAGGTGAGAACAGAAACAGAGGTTGAAGTGATGTAGCCACAAGTCAACGTTGATGCCAGTAGCTCCCAGAAGCCGGAAGAGACAAGGAATGAAACCTTCCCTAGAGACTCTAGAACGAGTGTGGCCCTACTGATGTCTTGATTTCTGACTTGTGGCCTCCAGAACTGTGGGAGGATACATTTCTCTTGTTTCAAGCCACTCATTTTGTGGTGATTTGTTACAACAGCTCCAAGAGGTGAAGGCCTGAGCATAGTGTCTGGTCCATGGTCATTGTTTTGTGAGTTGCGGCCTTAGTTTTCAGACAAATTAGATCTTTTTTTTGGTGGTGGGGGGGGTTGTGTGTAGTGTGCTTTAAAAAAAATCCATTTTAAACTTTTTTCTCCCTGGTTCTTTTAGCCTTAACTTATTTGCTTATTCGGTCAGCCATTCCTTCGGTGTTTGTTAAGCAGTTTCCATTTAGTGCTAAGTGTACTGGGTGTTTTTAAAAGAGCATTACATGACGGTGAACAGAATACATAAGATCCCAGCCTCATTGAGTTTGTTCTCCAGCTGGAGAGACAGACAAATGGAAAATAAATCCTCACCGCATTTAAGTGCTATGAAGAAATCTGGTTGAGTTTGGGGACAGAGAAGAACAGGAAGAAAAGCAGAGATGCTGGTTTTAGGCACGCGACTGAGCCTGAAAAACTGTGGCAGAAGTTTTAGAAAGAAACAGGTATTTTTGTAGAGGACTTCCGTGTTAAGGCAGAGCGTTGACTTTGAGATTTGACTTTGCATTAGGCATGAGAAGCAGGAGACATTTGTAGTGGCTGAGTGGAATATTGCTGCTGTCTGTGGGGCAACACGGCAGTTTCCTAGATGTTTTAGGGCGGAGGTTGGCAAGCTTTTACTCTCATGGGCCAGACAGTATATAGAGCTCGTGGGCTGTATGGTTTCTGTTGCAACGTTTTGACTTTATGTTATAGCATTAAGCAGCCACAGGCAGTCTGTGAACAAGTGCGTCTGGCTATGTCCGCACCTCATTTACTGGACACTGGAACTTGAATTTCATGTAATTTTCACACGTCTTGAACTATTTCTCTCTTTTTTCTTTCTGTCAATAACCCTTCTTAGCTCGAGAGCCATACCAGAGCAAACAGTGGGATGCATATGGCCTGTGGGTCATCGTTTGCCAACCCGTTTTACAGTGTAGCTTCTGTTCTTACAAGCAAAGGAGCCACGTTCTTTGCCTCGCGATTCTGCTCTAAGGAGCAGCCAGCAGGCAGGGCTGGAGACCTGTGGGAAAGAGCAGACCCCTTAGGCAAGCAGCGTGCTGTCTGTGCAGAATTCTCCATTCTTGGTGGCCTGATAAACGTGGGCCTGAGCTTGAATTAAAAATGATTTTTTCTTTTTTCTTTTTGCTTCACGAATCAACATTTAATGATAATATTTCTTCTTGATGTTTCGGCTATAAAAGTGCAAATTATGCATGAAATTGGTGTACATTATTCCATCATGAACTAATCTGATAGAAAAACACATTAGGTATTTATATCGAAAACAAGTCATTCATAACTATTAAAACGTTTTGAAAAGGAAAACTATGTTCCTGAAAATGTGAATGACTGGAAATTGAGGCCATTCAGTTATGACCAGGGAGATGGAGCACTGTGTTCTTACCATCTTGCTGGCATTGCCCAGTTGCCTTTATGGCCATAGATTTTAAAATGATAAAAGACACTTAAAAATTTTTTTTTTTTTTTTTATTCTATGGCATCATTTCCCAAATGATAGTGCATTTCTATGTAATACTGTATTTACAACCTCCACCACACTTTGGGCTCTGGAAATAGGCTGATAAACAGGTGGCTATGAATTGGAATTTGTCAGATGTTTTGTGGATTCAGGTATCTTACTCTTCAGACCTTGTGGGTGCTCCACAAATTAAGTCTAAGTTTTGGTTTCTCAATTTTTAAACATCTGCCTCCACCTTCCTTTAAAACCTCATGTTTTAGCCATGCTGATTCTTTTCTTTTTTTTTTTTTAAAGATTTTATTTATTTATTTGACAGAGAAAGACACAGCGAGAGAGGGAACACAAATGGGGAGTGGGAGAGGGAGAAGCAGACTCCCTGCCGAGCAGGGAGCCCGATGCGGGACTCGATCCAGGGACTCCAGGATCATGACCTGAGCCGAAGGCAGTCGCTTAACCAACTGAGCCACCCAGGCGCCCCATGCTGATTCTATGTAGTACCCACAAAAATACATCCTATTGTCAATACGTTTTTGTATGTTTGACATAAAATGCCAATTTAAATTGAGCTATCCTTTACAGATCTTGGATATTTTAGAGCTTAAGGAGGCCTCAGAGATGACCTAACCCAGCTTCTTCATTTGACACCTGAAGGAAACGACGAGGAAGTGACTTCAGAATTCATTGGTTTTACCATTAACTCTAGTACGTTCCTATTTTACTCTGTAATGAGCTTGGCTGTCCTCTGAACACTCAGAAATGTTTGCTCAGTGGTTTGTAGATGAGGCAAAATCATTCCTGGCCTCTCCTGTATCGTCTCTGTTTTCCTAATAAATATATCTGGGGAGATCAGGAAATCACAAGTGATTTGTCTTAGTAACTTTCTTTTCGTATAGCCCATGGCTTTGGACCTTGACACTAGGAACCGCTCCATGTAATATTGTTACCTTTATTAAGAGTTTAAGTTAAGGGTGTGCACGCTCACCTCAGGAAGTGGAAGCAAAATTATTCTAAAGGGACCTGCTCTGTAAAAGAGGCAGTGTGAGAGCTCTCTGGATGTTAAGGTAGATCAGCAAGTGGCTGATCAGGTGGCTGAAACTCGTGATGGGGTGGAGGTGCATGGGTACAGGAAGCAAGCAGTTAATATCAAGGCATCTGGTCGGTGAGGGACAACTGAAACCCTCCACACAGTGGTCAATATTGTCTCTAAGCAAGCAGCAAATAGAGATCTAGACCAACTGCAGAGTTAGTATTACCCTGGATTTGGAGGCAGGACTCAACTCTTGGGAGGTGCTCTCTCAAGAGATACCTATGTCCTCAATCAGGGGGTCTAGAAGAGTAGTAATGAGAGTTTTCCAGAACTAGGGAAGGGGACCCGAGAGAGGAGCCCAGAAAGTCAGGGATAAAGGAGAGGGAAAGCAGTTAAAACAATTTAAGCACATATTTCCCCTGTCTGTTTGGGCTCAAGGACTGTGAGTCCTCAGTGAAGTCAGCCTTCCAGAGAAGCAGAGATAACAAAGGCAGGGTGGAGGGCAATGACCCAGTCCACCTGTGTCACTCCAGTGTAGACCATATTCAACAGTTGTGCTTGATCCCTGTCTGCCTTCACCTTGTCTGTTGGGCCTGACAATGCTCACTTGCTCTCCAGAGATTTTCAATTTGAACACTTCTGTGAAAACAAATTCCTCATAAAATCTGGACACAATCACCGTTCTTTTAATGGCTCTTGTTGCACAGGAAAAATAGACAATATCATTCCATTTCATAAATACCTATTACTTATATGACAGAGCTATGATAATTGATATGGCCTTTTATATATTTAAAGTCACATTTATTGGGTTATCAGACTGTTAGTGATTTTTATTTTGGGTGTAGTTCTTGTTTCTGTATTTCATGACATCTGATTTTTAGCAGTATTGGTATTTATAAATAGTTGAATCATAAAAAAGATGGATAAAATTTAATGTCCCTTTAAATCTCATGGAAGAACCCAGTCTCTGTGGTAGAAATGTCCGGTCCTTTCTTGAGCCATCTTTGCTCCTAGTAGGTGAGCCTCTCTACCTGATTTCTGTGTTTTACCTGGTCTTAGTTCTGCTTCTGGGCACATTGTATATTTCAGAGGATTTTGAGTCAGTTTCAAGCTCAACTTGCTGCTCTTTCCCCTGTTAACCAGGTTACCCATATATGGATGTAGGTAAAGCTTCACATACATAACCACTAGCATATACTTACCAGCTCAATAATTATATTTGTTTTCCAGGGTTGGAACTCAGTAATTCCAATCTTTAGTGTCCTGGCTAATCTGTTCTGTTTGGGTTTTGCTTGCCAAAATTTGTTGCTTTGGGTGGTTTTTTGACTCCCACTCTTGTGTGACTCCTGTTTCTGGGTCTGGTTTCCCATCTGCCATCCTGGGCTCCATCCCTGAGTATCTAGACCCTACTCTCTATTTTTAACCTCCAGTTCCATGCACATCATGGGCATGGAGCTTGATCTGTGCAATTTATTTTCTTGACCGGCTTTTTACTTTTTTGCATTCTTTAGTGACTGCTAAACCTCTCTCTTGTTCTGGTACATCCTTTGGGCTCTGATTCAGCTTTTCATTCATTGCTCCCAGATTATTTCCCAGCCTTCTGTACCAGTGTCTTGATTGCTTACCCCTCCAGCTTTTTTCTGGTTTCCTGGGCTCCTTAATCACATATCAGTACTTTGATCATGTACCTCTGACTTTGGTCCTGGATATCTGAGACTCTCCTCATTCTTACCAATCTCAAACTGACTAGATGTCAACACTAGATTAAAACCAAAACCAAGCGAGCCAAAGCAAACCAAGCCAAAGCAAGCCAAACCAAGTCATACGTACTTTAAGAAAACATAAGTAGCACCATTCTACCTCTGGATTAGTGAAAAAAATCAGGCCTTATGCCTACTTAGCCATATTAGGTATTTATGTCATAGCCTGACCAGGTTTTTGATAGATTATCTACCTTAAACAAAAATACTTTTTGTAGAGCTCTATGTAGAACATGAAAAACAACCTTGAGTTATAGTCATAAATCCTATTTGAATTAGAAAGGAATTCAGCCTATCAGCACTCTTCTCTTCTTTGAGATGGCTGATATAATTTCTTTAAAAGATTTCAATTATTTGAAAGAATATTCTAGGACTTTCTATTATTTATTGTTTTTGGTGTCATATGAACAAAATGCCTGCAACTGGTTTTCAGAGCATTTGAGTTTTGATCATTTATCTTTTGATTTATTAATTAAAAACATTTTCCTCATGAAGAGACTTCCTTTTGTACATTGTGGGATACCACTTGGTTTGTAAAATAACCTAGAAGAGAATACTAATTTTTGAAATCCAATTTATAACCTCATTTTTTAGCTATATTTTGTCATCAAGTAGTATGAGGTAGGCTTCCTTAAGCCTACTGAAAGAGACTTCTTTCAAAAATATTTTCTTTAAAAAGCAAAAAAAAAAAAAAAATCAACATAAGTTTTATTTATTGAATCCTTTAAAATTATTACAACACGATTTATGATTCAGCATATAGTCTATCTTGATGAATATAGCCTGTGTACTTAAAAAGAATGCATTTTCTTCTGTTGTTGGAATATTCAATTTTATAGTTATGCAATCTTCATACATCCTTACTGATTTTCTGTCCATTTGTTCTATCAATTACTGAGAAAAAAATTTTGGAATATTCAACTACGTTGTAGATTTATTTATTTCACTTTAAATTGTCAGTTTTTGCTTCATTTAAATTCTATATTTAGGTGCATACTCATTTAGCGTTATTATGACTCCTTGATGAATTGATATTTTTATCATTATGACTTCTTAATCTTTATTCCTGGTAATATTTTTTATTTTAAATTTTACTTTATCTAATATTAATACAACCATTCCAATGATAGACTGAATATTTGTGTCTGTAAAATTCATATGTTGAAACATAATCTCCAGAGTGATGGTATTTGGAGCTGGAGCCTTTGGGAGGTGATTAGATGATGACGGCTCCACCCTTATAAAAGATTATAGGATTAGTACCTTTACAAGAGACCCCAGAGAGCTTCCTTGCCCGTTTGCCATTGAGAACACAATGAGAAAGCAGATTTCTATAAACCAGGAAGAAGGCCCTTACAGGTCTGGGATCTGCTGGTACCTTGATCTTTGGCTTCACAGTCTCCAGAATTGTGAGATAAATTTATATTGTTTATAAGTCACCCAGTCTGTGGTCTCTGTGACAGCATTCTGAACAGAATAAGACATCAGCTTTATGTTTAATATTTGCATGAATTTTTTCCATGAATTTACTTTAAACCTATCAGTCAATATCTTTATATTTGAAGGGTTTTTTATAGATAATATATAGTTGGGTCTTACATTTCCATCTACTCTGACAATGTTTGCCTTTTAATTGGGATGTTTAGACTATTTGTATTTTAGGAAAACATTGATTTAAGATTAGAGAATTGTAGTTACTTGTTTCTCAAATGTTTGATGGTATTTACCAGTGAGTTTCAGTTTTGTTGATTTTCTCTATTGTTTGTCCACTTTATATACGATTGATTTCTACATTTTTTCTCCCTTCTACTTACTTTGCATTTAATTTAATCTTATTTTTCTAGCTCTAATAGTGAATCTTAGTTCGTTGATTTTAAGTGTTTTTTCTTCTCTAATACAAACATCTAATGATATAAATTTTTTTATAGATTGCCTTAATTGCAACCCACAACATTTAATGTGTTTCCTTTACCATTCAAGTCAAAATAATTTTTGTTTTCTTCTGTGAGTTTTTTCTTTGACTCATGTTTTATTTAGAATTATATTTCTTTTGAAAATTTTAATTTATTTTTTAGTTCCAGTAAAATTAACATACAGTGTTATATTGGTTTCAGGTGTATAATGTAGTGATGATTTCACTTATGTGAAATTTCAGAAACAAAACAAATGAACAGAGAAAAAAAGAGAGAAACAAAAATTAGACTCTGAAATAAAGAATTATATTTCCTAATTTTCAAATATTTGGGAATGTTACAGATGTCTTTTTATTATTGATTTTTAATATGATTCTATTTTAGTTAGAAAATGTATTCTGTATGTTTTCAGTCCTTCAAAATTAAGGCTTGTTTTCTGGCCCAATACATGGACTATCTTGTGAATGTGCCATGTGTTCTTCAAAAGAATGTGAATTCTGCAGTTGATTTTTGTAGTGTTCTATAAGTCTCAGTTAATTGATTTCAGTTAATGGTCTTAAATTGTTTGCTAGTGTGGTTCAAATCTCTAATATTACTTGAATCTTTTGTCATTATATGTCCTGCCTCATCTTTACTACTATTCCTTTTCTTGAAGCGTTTTTTGTCTGATTTTAAATTAATTAGTCCAGCTTTCTTATGTGCATTGTTTGTATGGCATCTACTTTACCATCGTTTTATTTCCAACTTTTGTGTGTATTTATATTAAAATACATCTCTTGAAAGCATGTATTTGGTCTTGATTTTCTTCTAGTCTGACAGTCTTTGCCTCTTAATTAGAAAAATAGTCCATTTACATATAATGTTATTATTGATATGGTTAGGCTTAAGACTACCATCTTACTTTTGGTTTTCTATTCCTTCCCCTTATTCTCTTTTTTTTTCCTCCTTTTTTTTTTTTTGATAAATTGAATATATTTTTAGTATTCGATTTTATCTTTA